GAACTTGGACTCTTTAAAATTGTTTTACAGCCTCATGATTCTAAGCCTCTATGTTCTCTACATTGTATTTTATGTTTCATATTCTTTGTAGATACACTATTTAGCTTAACTGGGAGGGATGTGTGTGTGTGTACATCCTTTTAAGGCCAAAGTTCTTTGATGTTAGAAGCTACTCCTTAGAGATGATTTTCCATTGCACCTGTACAGAAGTTAGTCTGGTTCCTAAATGTAATAATTGACCCACTTAGAATTGATGAGAAGGAAGGAAGTTGTTTTTGTAAGTATTCCATTCCCTTGGAAACACAATCAATTTTCAACCTCCCAGAAGCCAGTACTATCACAAGTTTCACAGACTATTGGTGGGAAATCTGGCTCTCACAGCCTGCCATGGGCTGCAGATAAGTGCCTTCTCACCTCTGATCTTACTCTTCATGTTGTAGAGCAGACTTGTGAGGAAAAGAGTCTTGAGGTTACTGCTTCCTGTCTCCACATCTTTAGCTTGTTTAGCTGCTAGGAAAGGTTTTGAAAAGCAAAGCACAAATTCATCATCAAAACAACCTGCCGATTAGTAGATAGATGCCAGCCAAAGTAGTTTTTACTGTGCTGAGCGAATGCAGTTGGGAGACTAATGGTGTTTCTTGAGGGTGTAACCTAGGTAAACCACTCACAAGAAGGAAAATAGAATCAAATATTTGCAGAGGGAAAGAAAGGTCATTCTCAGCATGATTTAGAAAACAACACATCTTCAAACAGAAGCCTGTATGGGAAAGCTAAATGTATCTCTAGCTCCTTCCAAGCTAGTGGTTCTCAACCTTGCTAATGTTGTGACCCTTTAATACAGTTCCTCACGTTGTGGTTGTGGTGACCCTCAATCATCAAATTTTTTTTGTTGCTACTTCATAACTGTAATTTTGCTACTGTTATGAATTGTAATGTAAATATATGAGGTGCAGGATACCTGATATTTGACCCTCAACGTGGTCATAACCCACAGGTTGAGAACCACTGTTCTAAGTCTAGGTATGTCCTTAAATTTTATAGTATTCCCTTAAATTATTTGAAATAACATAGATTACAAGAAACTCAAAACACACACACACATACACACACACACACGTACACACACACACAAAACCACAAAAACAAAAAACAAAATACACAGCCAAGCTGACCATTGTCATGTACTTTGGTTTATCTGTATCTTTGTACTGTTCTACTGTAGGGTGTCGGTGTGTCTCCTCACACATGTTCCTAGAGCTAGAAATATCATATGTACAGGAACAACAGTGAACACACATGGTCAACATCATTTAGGATAACTGTAATCTATCTTTCATACCATAAATAAACTTATTTTATTTAGTGTGTCTCCAGAGGAGATGTAGATTCTCAGGTTCTGTCAGGTAGTTTCTCATGTGCAATAAATTAAGGTGGGGTAGAAATCTAGAAATTGTATTAACATTTAAAAAGGGGTTTTATCAACTTTAATCCTAAGCTAGGAAGCTTTTAGCCACATACAAGCACAAAACAAGAGATTACCTTGACTACAGCGTCTCTCTTTAAGCATCAGCTAATCTAAAAATTATCTGTCGACATAGAAGAGAGAAATGTGAACATCAACAGATAAATTGCCCATTTCCTTCTCATAGTTTTCAAACTCTTCCTAACAAAATTTGGCACAGTCACAATATGAAGTATTTCCCCTTTCTTTGCTCTGTGGTTGGTTGTGTCTCCAGCACAATGAGAGCTAACAGACAGCCTTGACAAGGGGCTGTGGATTTCTCGTTGAGAACATGCTTGGTTTGTAACGCTGAGTTCAAATGGGCTCAGGAGAAATCAGACAATCTCAGCCATGCTGAGGCTTGAGCTCAGAGTCCCCATGATGGGAAGAAGAAAAGCTACCTTCGAGTTGTTATATTACTCCTTGCAAAGAAAAACCGTTTCAGAGAATGACTGCAGTCTCTTCCTCTGAAAGTTTCCATACTGTGTCATGACCCCTGATGCTGAAAAAATGTCTTCTTTATACTCAGATGTCCAAACTTGACTTAGATTTTTGGATCTGTCAATTCTGGTAATGAAGTAGAAGGAGTAAAAAGAAAATATCTACTTGTTTCTGTTTGGCTGAGGATGTCATTTTAAATGCTTCCTTTTCTCTTTAGCCACACCTAAATCACTGTCAAGTTGGGAAAGCATTAGCCTGTAAACATTTCTCACTTCATCCAATACTTCTAAGCCAGTTCAGTCTCTCTCACCTCTGACCCGGAAGACAGATGATCTTGCCCACTCTCCATGCCCTTACTCTGGTATCATCCAACGTACTGCTTCCACTTTGGTTAGAGTGATCTACATAAATGAAAAGCTGTGCACAGCTGCTTTTTGGCTTAAAAGCCTTCACTAGGACTCTATCACTGACAGATCTTGGTAAATGTTTGTCAATCAATGTAGGCATCATCCATTATCTCACAGACCAGCAGTCTTCGTGTCTAAGAAACCAACTGGTCCCAGAACCTGCAGACTGTTGTCTACTGGATCAAAACTAGCTATTTATATATGTTTCTTCCTTATCAGACTGGGAACTGCCCAAGGAATTCATGTTTAGGAATCAGTTTTATCTCTCATGTGTGAGTCTTCGGAATGTGTCATCTGCTGAATCAGACAATAATTACTAAATGAACATTGGAGTTTGGGTGCTGGAGCTTGTCCTTTCCTCTCTAGCTCCTCCTTCTCTACCCTTACACAGATATTCATAGTAGCCCTGTTCATAATAGGCAAAAAAAAAAAATGTTGAGTGTAAAAACAAAATGTACTCTAGCTACACAATAGAATAGTCATAAACTAAAGTTCTGATACTTTATCGCAACACAGATGAAACTTGAGAATTGCTATGTGAAAAATGCCAAATACAAAACGACACACACTGTGGTTCCAAGCATATGAAATATCCTGAATAGGCAAATAGAGACAAGAAGTAGAGAAGAGGCTGCCGGGGGCTGGAGGGAGAGAATGTTGGGAAATGGTGGCCAATGAGCAGGAAGTCTCCTTTTTGTGTAATGAAGACATCTTACAAACAGAGAGTTGTGGTCTATTCACAACTCCCATTGTATTAAAAAATCTCTTAATCATATTTTTAAAAAGAACTTTGTAATATGTTACTTACATCTCAGTAAAGTTATTCCAGCCCAAATATCAACATTCACCACATCTTAACTTATATCAACTACATCAGAATTTCTGGGAGTAAGAGGTTGTGGGTATATGTTTTCTTTTTAAGTTCTATGTGTATAGAGATACTGATAATTATATAGATGACAAAAGCTATTAGAGATTTAATTCTGCGTACTTACCTTCTACCCAAAACAAAAGAAAGAAAGAAAGAAAGAAAGAAAGAAAGAAAGAAAAAAAAAACAAACATCAAACAAACAACCAAAAACCGAAACACTGTGTATATGAATTCAATCCCAGGTTAAATGCTAAATTTAATTTTTAACAACTACTGAGTCTAACTGGCTCTTGGGTGTGGGTACAAATAACCTTTTAAAAATTAGAAATAGCAGGCTGAAGAGATTGCTCCACGGTTAAAGGATAGCCTCACAACAGTAAAAACTATAAATAGGTAATTAGTATGGTCCCCCAGCAAAAACTGATTTTGATTTATTTTTATTTTTTTTTAAATTTCTTCACAAACAGCAATTTGTTTACTTCTGAAAAATTGAAGTCATGTCTCAGGAAGAGAATGCCTACATCCTATACATCTTTGATCTGTAAAGTTGACTCTCCATTCCTAAGCGGTCAGCTATTTAGGTGGTTTGGCCTTCGGTTTTAGTTCTGATTTTGATCACCATTCGCTCAATGACTGTAGCTGAACCATTCATGTTTCTAGACCTCATTCAGTCTTTTTATTTATCTCTTTAAACAAATATACAGGAATGGTGTCCCATACTTTTAATCTCAGCACTCAGGAGGTAAAGGCAGGTGAATTAGTGAGTTCTAGGCCAGCCTGGTCTATGTAGTATGTTCCAAGACAGCAAAGGCTACATAGTGAATCCCTGGTTTTTGTTTCTGTTTTGTTTTGTTTGTTTAGAAAAAATATAGAGCCAAAGACATGGTAGGCACCTGTTGCTAAGCCTGATCTGTGGGTGGAGGGAAAGAATCAACTCCTGCAACTTGACCTCTGATCTCCACTTGCATGTTGTGGTACACACACACACACACACACACACTTAAAATGTGATGTTTTCTTTTTAAAAAGGAATATATTTCTGGAAATGGGGATGCACTGGAAACAGTATGAGCGTTGTCTCCCCTCCCCCAATGGAAGTGAGAATGTAGTTTCATTTTCTTTGCCTTTAAGGGGAGAAATTGAATTAGATGGTACCCAGAGCTTTGATTGTTTGCTGGATAAAGATACAACTCTTCTTGATTTAAGAGGGTAAGCAAGCAAGTTTCTTGAGAGGCTCTTATTTGAATTTGCTCTGGAAGAGAAATTTAAGCTACAAATGCGATGCCTCCGTACTCCTTTATCCTGCTTTTGGGTTGGTCAATAAGCAAAGCAGGATGTTTTGAAACTTCAAAATGCTTTTTACAAAAACTTGCTGCAGAATTGAAAAAAAAAAAATCATTTGGACATCTGTGTCCGGCTTTCAAGCTGTCTCCAAGCTGATCACTAATTCAGGAAGTCAACACAACTTCATAGGCATCTCAACTCGGTTCAAAAATTCCTAGTGCCTAGCTGTGGTACTCAGTGCTCATGGAAGGTTACGTTTTGCCGTCCAGGAGGAAGCATGCTCCCGTCTTCACATTCAGAAAAGGATGCCAATATTATTGAAATATAAACTTGAAAACTTTTGGAGTAGTCATCATTCCAAGAAGTATTATTAATATATCTTTATCTGCCAATGGACTTTGTTGGAGATCTGTTCTGTTGACTAATTAATTCACTTTGTTTCAGGGCAAGGGAATTATTATTCTTATGCTCCTAACTAAATGTTTTTCCCCCTCAGAAAACAAGATTTTGGTGAAACAGTCCCCGCTGCTTGTGGTAGATAGCAACGAAGTCAGCCTCAGCTGCAGGTATTCCTACAACCTTCTTGCGAAGGAGTTCCGGGCATCCCTTTACAAGGGCGTGAACAGTGACGTGGAAGTCTGTGTCGGGAACGGGAATTTTACCTATCAGGCCCAGTTTCGCCCAAATGTGGGGTTCAACTGTGATGGGGATTTCGACAATGAAACCGTGACGTTCCGTCTCTGGAATCTGCATGTTAATCACACAGATATTTACTTCTGCAAAATTGAGGTCATGTATCCTCCGCCTTACCTAGACAACGAGAAGAGCAATGGAACTATTATTCACATAAAAGGTAACACGCCACTGTACTCCGATAACCTAAAGGATGGTTGTTCAATGGTGAGAGGAGGGTTGGGATAAGTGAAGGTGGGGCGCTAGCACGTGATCTGAGACTCTCGTAAACCTGTTTCCTTTCACTTCAGCAACGACTCCAGCTTATCTGAAATGCCTTTACGTTCCTCACTGACGTTATTTGGAAGGATGAGAGAAGAGTCTATGGGAATAGAACCTATGAGATTATTCTGGATTCAAGTACATCATGCCCAGAATAAATTTGCCATTAAAATTTGACTATACATATTTTTTGACCTTTTGGTTAAGATCAAGCATAAAATTGAGCATAGAGTCAGTACTAAAATTGAGCATAGAGTCAGTCCTCTACAGTGAAACATAGTCTGATGGAACAGGACTCAGGAAGAATGGGTTGGATACCAAATTCATTCTCTTTTTTTGGGATCCATGTTCTTCTGCTACTAAGTTTCTTTCCATTTTCCAAAACATAAAAAGAATGCTGGACTAGAAATTTATGGGACATACCTTTTGTGATCTTGGGTAAGTTATCCAACTTTTTAATAACCCCAAACTCAATATAATTAAGAAGTACTCATGGATCAACAGCAATAAGTACATTATGTTTACATTGAGATTATGTTCTGTGAAAACATTGGGAAGAAAAATAATAGGATTCTCAACCCCAAATATAGCTATTGGCATTGACATAAAAAACTGAGGGAGGATGGATAGATTTTTGTGTATATGAGAATGATAGATAAGAAAACATATGCTCCATTTTATATTCAATTTTAGCACAATTACAATAAATGGATTTTCTCTTATGCCATAACAAAGGCTTACTTGAGAAAACTCAAATACCAAACAAGAAAAGAATTATTATATTAATATGGCAGAGTAGCTTTTATGTTCTGGAAAAAAAAAACAGAGACAATTAATACACAAATTAAGATTTCTAATATCAATAATTTCCAGGCAAAATATTTTGATTGGATTAAGTTGAAGGATAAAAAAGATATATCATTTTGGAAGCCAAGAGTAAAACATTTCTTCATATAAATGGTACATTACCTTAGGCTAGTATATCGTGTGTATGCATACAACATACACACACACACACACACACACACACACATTTAGGAGAACTGGAAAAGATGTCAGGGATTCTGTCCTCAGCAGCTTTCAACCCTCTTTGTATTTGTATATCATAAACCTAAGTAGGTAAATTAGGGAATGCCTGTGCTCAACTTTGAGCTTCTGACTTAATCAATACGGCTTGAGGAAGGGGAGCTAGATAATGGTTTTCAACACTCTGTCAGATAATTCTAATGTGCAGCCAGGATTAAAACCTCATGGACTAGAGAGTTGTCGATACTTTTTATTTATGTAATTTATTACAACTTTATTATAAATAGCTTGGAAATAGAGAAATTCATGTATCCGAATTAACCAGACCCAATGTCTATACATCGCAATGAACTATGAAGTATTCTGCCTAGTTATAATTTTCCACTAGTTTCAATAGAACTGCATGGAGTTTTATTCCCATCTCCTTTCTCATACCAAATATATGACCTGACTCATTCGGTATTGGATAATCTGTTGGAGTTAGAGCTACATATTTATCTTTTTAAATTTTTTCCAGGCTAGTTTTCTGACTGCCAAATTAAGTGGATGATTTTTCTTAGGGTTTGAAAACATTTGTATTATTTACTTATTTCAAAGAGTTTAGGGTATAGATAAATTAGCTTCTGATGTGGGGGAAGGGGCTTGGGGTCAGGTTAAAGTCACTGAAAGTCACCATTAGCAATGCTAACAAGGTCCAGTGACTGTCACCAGTGTAGCACTATAACGCAGTGCTTGCAACCTTAGTCTTGTATACTGACAAAGTTTGATCAGAGGTGGGGTTGAGTAAGTCCCAAAAGCAAGACTCGATCATCTGAGCTGGCGGTATTTTGTATGTTTTAGTACTTTCAAATTCTTCTCTGATGTGCAGGATAGAAATGTACTCAACTGCTGTTTCTGTGTCCTTTAACCCAGTCTGTTATGTTTTTCAGAGAAACATCTTTGTCATACTCAGACATCTCCTAAGCTGTTTTGGGCACTGGTCGTGGTTGCTGGAGTCCTGCTTTTTTACGGCTTGGTAGTGACAGTGGCTTTTTGTATTACCTGGGTAAGCGGAGCAACATTGCTTTTTATGTAACTTCTCTGCACCTGCACTCTGACTATATTAAGAATCTGGCCTGTATCTTTTCTACTGCAACGTTAAAGCAGGTGATGTTTTTCAGTCTGTCCATCTTATATGTAGTAATAATCTGATGTGAGTTCTGTTTTCCAGAAGGCATCAAGCGGTCAGGCAGAATTAGAACTAAATGGGAAGATTAGGGTGGGCAATTATAGAGAATTAACTTTCTTATTCTTAATTTTGCAACATAATAATTGCATATAAAACAGCTTAAATGCATACGTAAAATATAAAATCTAAGCCTCATCAGGACTAGGCAACTGAAGCCAATGCTTTGGTTCAGGGTTAAAATACAGGAGAAAGTAGGCTGCTAAAATTGTGCATTCAAACCAGAAGAACGCAGGTTTGTTTATGTCAGTCCTGTTTTCTGTCCTTTTTGAAGCAGCTGCATTGTGTGAGGTCAACTTCAATGCTGACATCATGAAAGCATAAGAGGAAAGAGACTGTTCAGAGCTCTCTCCACTGAACAGAGATTACTAGTCTCTGCAGATGTTTTTACAATAAGTTTAATATATATATTTTCACCTTTCTCAATGTTGACTTTTTGATCCAAGCTTGAACACTTTTTGTTTGTTTTTTCTGAGACAATGTCTCATCATGTGGACCAGATTGGCCTGGAACTTACTAGTCAATCCAAACTGACCTTGACTCATATAAATCCTCCTGCTTCATCCTCTTGAGGGCTGAAATTATAGGTGCGTACCACCATGTCTGGCTTTCAAACATATTTAAAAATTTTTAAATTTTAATTTATGTGGGTATTTTGCCTGTGTGTATGTCTGCGCACCATTTATGTATCTGGTACTGATTGGAAGCCAGAAGAGGGAATCAGATTTTTCTGAAATTGGATTTACAGATATTTGTGAGCCACCATGTAGGTGCTGGGAATTGAACCCTGTTCCTCAGAAGAACCGCTAAGCTATCTTTCCTATGCTCTTTAAAACACATTTTGATGAACACATTCACTGTTAAGACCTTAGCAAGGATCCTTTTCTTAGAAACTTCTTTGTGTATGAGGAACCTTATGTATTGATTCCACACGCCTCTGGGTTTTTTTCCAGAAGTTGGGTGAATATACAAGTAATTTCTTCAATGAGAAATGTATGCTGCACAAGAAGAAAAGACCCCTTTTCTTGCCAGTCTCCATCCATCTACTGTGAAGTACACTTAGGACTTAGGGAACCCTTATTGTGTTGCTAAATAGGTAACCTCCATGCAAACCAAATAAGGACCTAACTAAGCCTGTTTGAAATATGATACCAATTTGAAGGCATAATCCACGTATTTAGAGAGATAATGTATAGTCAGGGATCTCTGGAACTCATGCCATGTGATGCCATCTTATTTACTACAATGTTGGTGAGGGGGCAGGACAGTTCTAGCTCTAAGTCATGAAGTTGTATCTTCTTGCTGTAGATTTAAATTGTTTGTTTTCTTATCCAAAGTTGCCTCTCTATTATTCCCCACACATTTCTGTAGTTTGTAGGCCATGGAGCAGGTGGACATTTGTCAGGCTACCTTTTGACTAATCTATGGCTTTTACGCAGTGGGGAACATGGTGTTAGCTTGTTCATGGAAATTTTTTGTTTCATCTTGGGAATTCTGAAAGTTGTCCAATCAAGGTATACTGATAGAAGCTTTAGTATAGAAACTATTGCCCAAATTCCGGCTCTGATACTAGTTTAGAACTTTCATCCTTCTGGACTTTGAAGTCTGCACTCTTGCTATCTTCTGGCTCTACAGGGGCTGCCAATGATTTTAGAACCCTTAAGTTTGGCTTGTTTTTGTCTAATTCTCAACCACTGACTTTCTTGCTTCTCAAGACTTTAAGCAAGAACTTGAATTTCCTAATCTAAAGACCAGGTGCAATAGCCCTCTGGATACCCTTCCAAGATATATTGTCATGTATTGACCGAGGTCAAAGGCATTTACTAGCTTCATGGGAAGTACTTTTGGAAACTGCTTTGGCTTTCAGTGGTCCCATGGGCAGTGCTTTAAAACTTATGGTAAATATATATCAAGGAAGTCAGCTTCTAAGATGAGGCACCAAGGTGCTGCATGACTGAAACCGCCCCCAAAGCAGCCTCTCACTTTCAATGAGTTAAAACAATTCACCTTTCAAATCATGTATCGGAGATGTTTTGTGCTTTTCTTTGGCAGCCCCACAATTTCTGGTAAGATTGTCTCCTCTGCCTTGGGAAAACTGTTTCTGACTTATCTCACACGCTCGCTGTGACTATACAGCCTTAGTGCTGTACATCTGTGGCTCTTGGGAGTCAACCAGGTTATCTAACAGGAATGTTAACTTATTTGGATCTCAAACACAGGTCTTTGTACTCTCTGACCAAATGGGGGAATAAAAATAATTTGCATCTCACAGAACAATGTAGCACCTTTAGTCAAGAAGCGTCTTAGTGAGCTAGGCATTTAGGGATCCCTAGGGCTTAACCACTTTCTGGGATCCTATTTTTGGCTGGTCAGCAGTGTGCCCTTGGTGAAAGTTAACTGGTTTCCAGAGCCTCCTAAGAATCCATGCTGTGCTGCTGTAGGTAGTTCCAGGCTGTGTGGGTTTCTGTCTCTCTGCTTGACCTGATGTTGGCATTTGAGTAAAGAAAGGGATTTTCTTGGTCAGGTTGCTGCAGACTATGACCTGTCATTCCTCATTCTTTGTTCACTAAGCTAAACTGTCACACTGGTTCTCTTTTCTAGCTTAGAGGAGGGTTGTTTTAGTTTGTTTGTTTTTGTTTTGTTTTTAACATGCTTTTTGCCAGTATGGACCACAATGTGTAGATAATGTGTATTTAGGTAGCCTTTAAATCTACTACATTCTTAACCATTTCAGAACATTGCTTATGTATACCCTGTGTGTTGCTGCTTTGTCTAGGAAACAAGGCAGAGGTAAAAGAAAGGGTGAAGGGTAGAGTGGCCTTGAAGCCACACATCTTTAACAGGCACTGGTTGGTGAGGGACACAGATACATAGACACAGGAGGTGGGTATTCTATGCATACACGTTGTGAGTATGCATGAGCACTGTGGATTCTGGACTGGATTCCCAGCTATTTCCATCACAGTGGTTAAGAATCAGCTAAACCCACTGTCTGATAATAGTGTTGGGGTAAACATGGGAGCTGATTGTAACAAATTTTCTTTATCTTTGTGTGTAACTTGGAGAACCTCAGAGTCACAACACCCTTCTTATTGAGGCCTTTCTTTAAATTATAGTTTCATTGGTATATCCACAGGCAAGGGTTAGCATTTAGGGGTTGGCAAAGGAGACCCTAAAGGTTAGCATCAGTGCTGAAAATGCTTGCGAGGGCAGCATCCCCAGCTGTCTTTGCTTACTTTGAGGCTTTGGGCACGTGGGTGTAGAAAGGAGGCCACACCTGTCATCATCCATCACTATCTATTCAGGGGCACCTGTCCCTCACACTTGTTGTACATACTTATCACAACAGCAGGCTTTGCTGCTTAGAAGTTGGCATTGTTTTTTCATGTCAGAGCATTCCAACTCTACAATCCATACGACTTTCTCCTTTTGACAATTATGCAAAGTTTACATCACATTGATCTGGCAATGATGCCTCTGGACCACAGTCAAAAAAATGTGGTCAAGATGCAAAGTGAGTGTTTCATCCTTGCTTCAAAGGATTTACTCTCCCCAGGTGTGCCAAATGTCTTGTCTGTGACAATTCCACCAGATTTAGTTGGAGTTCCTGCCAGTGCGTTTCCATCTGCTTTACGTATATCCCAAGATGAAAGGTGAAGTTTGAATAGAGGTACCACATTTGGGAGTGTAATGCTACTTCTAGAAGACACAAAGTTATTAAATGAAAGTTCTTTTCAAAAAAAAAAAAAAAGATGCAAAGTGAGTTTAACTCTAGTTCCAGGCTCAGTGTCATTCCTCTTTCTCTGCTCCTGGTAGAATTTCTTCCAGAGGTTGCTCAGTCTGAGAAAACAGTGGTGGGTGACATTATTGTTTTTGCAGAAATATATTCATATAGAAAATAGGGATATAGGTATTTGAACTATAAACCCTCATTCATTTGGATTCTGATAAACTAAATTACACTTGATCTTAGCCAAAAGGCTGAGAAACAATTGCTAACCTAAATGTATAATTATTATTTTAGATCCTAAAAGACCTGAAAGGTTTCTTTATTGGTGTTTTTCTGTTTGTTTGTTTGTTTTGTTTTGTTGTTGTTTAATTACAGAAAAATAACTTACTTAATGAATGATTAAAGTGGAAATGGCCAAAGACAAAGGGCTTTCCAATGCACTTAAATATCAATAGTGAATATGTTCTAAAATATGCTCTCGGGCTTTGGATTAGATGACAGACGTTGAGAGTAATGGACACGTGTCTATAAAACAGTTTCCTTTAGATTTTTAGTAGAGCCAGTGGTAGTCAGGCTTTGATTAGTCATTATCCTAGTCCAAGGCACATAAAAATACTGCTCCTCAGGGTCATTTGACAACTGATGATCTGAATAATTATCCCCAAAGTCTTGGAACCCCTCCAACAATACCTCCTCTAAATCTTTCCATATTGACTTTTTTCTTTTTTTTCCTCCCAGACAAATAGCAGAAGGAACAGACTCCTTCAAAGTGACTACATGAACATGACACCCCGGAGGCTTGGGCCCACGCGAAAGCATTACCAGCCCTATGCCCCTGCGAGAGACTTTGCAGCATACCGCCCCTGACAGGGACCCCTATCCAGAAGCCCGCCGGCTGGTACTCATCTACCTACTCACCATCACTGCTCTGGATAGGAAAGGACAGCCTCCTCTTCAGCCGGCCACTTTGGACCTCTACTGGGCCACCAATGCCAACTATTTTAGAGTGTCTAGATCGAACATCACCATCATCTTGAGACTCTGGAATGAATGAAAGAAGCTTCTTGGCAGGATAAATTTTGTGTGGCTTGACCCAAACTCAAGCTTAATATATTTATTGACTTGATTGGGGAAGTTAGAGTAGAGAAATCAAAAAGTGAGAGAATTCATTCAGCCTCGGAAAATCAATTTGCAGGCTCCTGGATGAGCCCCGCCCCTTTCTCACTTACCAGCACATTTCAGTGTGTTGAGTGATAGTCAAAGCTATTTTGGAGAGAGAAGAAAGGATAGCAAAACCTTCTCTTTGGCTTAGTTGGTGTTTTGGAGTGGGGGTAGGTTAGAGTATAGTACTTAACTATTTGAAAAATAGTTAAAAACACTTTTTTCACTCATGAAATGAGCCACTAAAAACAGTGTTTTCCTGTTAGTTTAGAAAGATGTGGACATATTTTTAATGATTTCTGGCCATTTTTAATCACATTGACCCATGGAATAGCCTCAAAGCACCCCTAAGCCTTGTTTCCTCATTCCCTGTCATGGGAATCCAGTATTATTAATAGTCACAACATGATTTCAGAACTAAATAGCCCTCCCACGCCAAGAAGATGTGAGAGGAAGTAAGATCACTTTATGTAAAATACACACACACACACACACACACATATGTACACACACATATACACACACACACACATATGTGAATGCTATGAAGAATTATCTGTTTAATAGCTTGTTATAGTCAAATCATTTAAGTTTCAACTTTCCACAGTTAGGTCACTTGTTGTCCTTTGTGGATATCTGGAATTGTGTCTATAGGGCACTAGTCATGATACTGTGAACAAAAAGTGTAGTGTTAGAATTTGTTAGGATGACAAAAGATGCATTCCAGGGAGCTTCCTCTGAGGAAGGGAATGAGGTCATTCTTGCCATGTACAAAAGAGGTGGATGTTTTCCAGAAGGCACCATAGGGAGCCCCAGTATAAGTTCCTTTGGACGCTAAAGTTTAGAGGGATTTGATATATTGTAGGGCTCAGGACTCCAGAACTTTGTGGGCTCAGCTGCTTCATACCATGGGGATTCGTTGACAAGAACAATTATTTTGGAGTGTGTCTTTAGGGATGACACCAAAATTCTCAAGATCCTGCAAGGCCTGTTACTGGAATGAAGGTGGACTTTTTTTTTTTTCTTTTGACTTCCAGTTTGGGTCAACTGAAATGTATCTGGGGACCTTGAAGAATGACCGTACAGCTGTCTTCACCATTTGTACAATGCTTTGAATTATTCTGAGGTTTTAAAGGCAGGAAGACCTGGTAAAACTTCTCATTACTAGTTAAAAGTTCTCCTGCGAGTCACTGATCATCCAAGACTATGATTCCTCAACTGTAAAATGGACATAATGAAACTTGCTGTGATCCTCCGGCCTCTGCCTCCCAAGTTTTGGGATTACAGGAGTACACAATCATGACCAGTTTGTAACATCAATTTAACTCATGAGAATCTCTCAGCTTCAGTAATTTTCCAGCTAATTGGAATAGTTTATCTTGTAATCAAACACTAGGCATTTCCCCTCCTCCACTGTTTTGGTATATAAAGAGGTCTTTAAAAATTTTTTTTTAAATATGAGAGGTAGGAAGAGATAGGAATCTTTTAATTCTAGACAAAGGATATTGTGCTCTGGTAGACTTTTTTTTTTTTTTAAATTGGCTTCTATTCTGTGCCTTTAATTAAAGCAGAGAAGGCCAAGATCTGCCCCACTTGTGTGATAAAAGACTGCTGGTCCTGGCACTTGTGATTGCAGCCACCTCTTAACATGTAGAGTTCTTGAACAGAGCTGGGAATTTATAGAAAGGGCAATAGCAAATAACAAACCCTTTTCTAAATGGAAAGATTTGGTCTTTGGCAATCGAGAACTTTGTTTTCTAACTGGAAAAGGAGGTTTACTGGAGATGAATCACACCTGAGAGTTTTCATACCCACCCTGGACAGAACCAAAGCATAGGTGTGAGAAGCCTTTTGCTATCCGTATGAACCAACAGATGGTTTAAAAACACTGGTTCAGAGTAAAGCTTTTGCAGTTTCAGATGTAGTGTATATGAAGAAAACTATGTCATTTGCTGCTATTATTGTAAGAGTCTTAGAATTAAAGGTGTGCCTGTAATTTTTAATTGTGAGCTCACCTATTTGGGACTGAGCGTACCAATTTTAAAGAGACCTGGTGTACCTTATAGCTACATCCAATGATAAAATTACCACACTAGCATGTGCCTGTTTTAAAACTCCTACTTTAATGTTTTCCTTAGGACAGGTATGCTCCCCCTTTTCAGTGAATCAGGAGAGATTTTGCTATTTGAAAAAGTGTATGACATTTTTACACCTTTGGGTTCTCCTCTCTGTGTGTCTCTGTGTCTCTCTTTCTCTGTCTCTCTGTCTCTCCTGTATATGTGTCTCTCCCTCTCCCACTTCTCTGTCTCTTCTCTCTCTGGCTCTCTCTGTGTCTCTGTCTCTGTGTATCTCTCTGTCTCTCTTTCTCTGCAGATTTTCAAATGTTGTTTTTCTTTGGAAGAAATGCAAGCTGTGGTTGGTTTGCTAGGCTTCAGTAGCAGTTTATCAGTAGGCCAATGCTTTATCTCTTGGAGATTTCAGTCTGGGATTACCCAATGTGCTCTCTGTGATGTGACTGCTGGGGGACAGATAGAACTGGATTGAGCCTTCAATCATTTAGGTCTTCAGTCATTTAGTCAACTAAGTGAGCCACTAATCTGAAAGGCTATTTTAATAGGCATACTGATAGTCAAATGGATGTCTGATCTCTCATCTCAGCTTTCTGTACTGACATATAGGAACTATACATGACTTGTATGCTCACCTGAATATGTTAAATTCAACAACGTGAGATGGACCAGAAACCACAATGTTCATGTCCATATAGCCACCATTAACCCACAGTAGTGTGGGACTTGTGAATGAGTTTATGCTATCTACAAGGCCAGTTGAAGCTTAAATCTCTCTTGCACTGTTATGTTTATGCAAATATCAAAAGCTTGTTCCTGTACCGGGGACTTAACACATGCTATTCATACTGTTTTCTCTGTCTACAATGGTATTCCTTAGATATCTACTTGGTTTGCTCATACTTCCTTGACATATTTGCCCAAATGTCACCTTCAACTATAGTTAATTACCTCTACAACCGGTCTCCTTGCCTTGTTTTATTTTCTGTATAACTCTATTACTAGATGTTTTTCTTATTTATTGGTTTACTGTCTGTTTTTTTTTTCCTAATCTACACTGGATCTCCATAGGGAAAGAACTCCATTTACTTTGATTTTATTGTTGTATCCCCAACGCCTAGAATAATGCTTAGCACGCAATAAATATTTATTCACTGAATAGATAGATTTCACATGGGTTTATGAGTTAATGACAAATCTAAATGATCTGATCACATCCCGAGAAGGAACGCAGAATCACTTCTGTTTTCCTCTTCTTATCAGAGACACAAGAGGTAAAGCAGACACAGAGAAATCTGGTAGAAGGACATGTAATTTATACAAGTTCATTTCGGTTTAGAAATTTCTGTGCATCCTGAAAGATGAATACAGTTAGAATCATTCTAAAAATGTTATTCTAAAAGCAACCAATTAGGAATAAGTTGATTTTCCATTTAAAGTACTCAAATTATCTCTTAATAGATTGTTGACATCCTTTTTGTTTTTATTTTTGGACCATTTTTTAAAAAAATTGTTTTTGGGACGGGAGAGATGGCTCAGTGGCTAAGGACATGACTCGAGCTATTCTTCCTGAGGTCCTAGGTTTGTTTCCCAGAACCCATATTTGATGCTCTCTTTGGGTTTCCATCGACATCAAAAACTCATGTGGTTCAATGGACATATATTTAGGCAAAACATATACATAAAATAAATAAAAATAATGTATTTGTTGACAATTTTATGTATGTGTTCGATGTATCTTGATAATACCCATACCCAGCTCCTGGCCATCATGTCCCCTGGACAGTCCCCAACACATGTCCCCCTCTCATATTCATGCCCTCCTCTTTCTTTTTTTTCTTCTCTTTTTGGTAACCCATCGAATCCAGTGAGTGCCACTTGCTGGAATGTGTAGCAGTCTTGGTGGCTTGCCCTTGTACAGGTCTTGTACAGGTGTCCACAGCTCCTATAAGTTCATAGTACCACGCCTGTGCCATGTCTAGAAGACAGCACTTCACAGCACTGCATGCTCTGGCTCTTACATTCTTTCAGTTCCCTCTTCCATGATGTCCCCTGAGTTTTGTGGGAAAGGTTGCTTGCTATAGACCCCTCATTTGGTATTGAACACACAAAAGTCACTTTTGACCAGTTTCTGCCTACTGCAGAAAAGAGTCTTATTTGGCCAAGGCTGAGAACAGCACTTACCTATGAATATAAAAAGAAATATTTTTTAGGAAGTCTTACCTGTCCATTCAGTAAAACAATAGTAGTGGCTTCCCTATTATGACCTATGACCTATGAGCCATGAACCATGAACCATGCACTTTTGACTAGATTCACAGTATCAGGTATCAATTCCCTCCTATGGAGTAGGGCTCAAATCTAATCAGAAAATGGCTGGTTACCCCATAACCTTCCTGTCGCCATTGCATCTGTGGGCACATCTTCTCTGTCAGGTTGATATTGTAGTCTCCAGGGTCTGGTTCTAGGTGATACCATTGATATCCCTACCCTACTTCTCAGTGGCCTGAAAAGCATCCCTCAGCACTATGAAAGTTAACCAGCAGGAAAGAAATTCTCAGGTCAGTTCTACCTTGACTTCTCTGTCCTGTAATCAAAGTTGGTTGTATCTTCAGCAGTAGGGCTTTACCATGTAGTTAAGGTGGGGATCCAGGAACAATGACAACAGCTTTGCTTCCTCGTGAGCCTCAGCAGTCTCCCTGACTAATTTGTAGGGGCATATCCTATGCCTGGCACTCAGATTTTTCATTTAAAACCCATGTTTTCTGAGGGAAGCATTTTGTCAATGCTTTAAACCTATCTTTAGCTTATGGTTTCTGAAAATATGGCTTTTGTAGTTAAAAATTCACCCTACAGCTGAATTGCTGCTCTTCTCTGTGGAGTGATTTTGTCCCAGTGAACGAAGCTTTGTTGCCTCTGTTCCAAAAAGATCTCCAAACAATGGTCAGGACAGAAAACGTCAGTCTCTCTACTGTCTTGCTCATGGCATAAGCGGGTGCTTGGAAAGCTTGCAACAGCTTCATCGTAAGAGAAGAAAAAAACAAATAAAACTCGTGGCATTTGGAGCAAGCTGAAAATTTATATCAGACTAGTATTTAACACACACATCAGCAGAGAGAGGGGGATGGGGTAGCAAGAGAATCCCATATGTGGAGTAGGCCCTAGAACCACAGAACAAGAGCTTGTCTGATACTTGATAATCCATGTAGCTGTTACTATTTGGCCTCAAATTTTCCTTTAAAGATGACCTGGAGTAAAAAAGGTGCATGATGAATTCATTTCTAAACAGACTCTTTGTTTTGTTGAAATGAGACTTGTTAAGTTTAGTAAATGTCATGAAAGCTTGAAAAAAATGAGCTCACATCCAGGCTACTACTCAAGTCAGTCTGGAACCAGCTAGTCTCGTGGATGTTTCAACAGGGAAATCAGATCAACTGGAAAGGTACCAGATTGATAGACGTGAAAACCTCTACACAGATCTCGGTAAGGATGTGTTTATTGTACTAACGGAAAATTGTATAACCCATTAAAAAGTTCAAGTACCTTCAGACTCATCCTCCAGGTGAAGCACAAGGCAAATTTTATGGCATCACCGGATAGACCCCTCTGTCATGCCTTAACCACACAAATGTGCGAATTTACAATTAACAAACAGCAGCCGTTAGTGAACTTTGTTGGAGATTCAGTCCAGGGCTTCATATAGGCAAGTACACAAACAACTGAGCTTCATGCCCTGTCCAGGTTAGTTTCCTTTTCAGTGGGGAGAGTAATGTGTGTATATAGCTGTGTGTATGTGCATATGTGTGTGTATGCATAAGCATGTGTATGTGCATGTACATGCTGATGTTGGATATTTTCTGTATCATTCTGCACTGTACTTTTTGAGACAGGCTTTCTCACTGAACGTAGAACTCATACCAGGGAGCTGCAGTAAGCTCCTGCCTCCACTTTCCCAGTCCTAGTATATCGGGCAAGTCCCACAAAGCCCGACTCTTTATGTGAGTGCCTGGGGTAGATCCAAACTTAGATCCTTGTGCTTGTGTGGCAAGTCTCTTACTGACTGAGCCACCTCCCTAGACCCACATTCCTACGTAAGCAGTATCTTTTGTCATCTCTCACTGTATCTGGAACAGAAATGATAGATGGTTGAGACAAATCAACGTAACTCCTGAGTTCATTTCAACAGCGATCTGACCCCCACAGTAAAAGGCAGCTACAGATGGTCTGGGAAACACCTCAGAAACTTGCTCTGAGCTCTCTACAACTGAGGCTTCATTGATGTGCTGGCAGTGGTACTGAGGATCTTGGTTCCTCAGGAATAGATCTGAGGGACTGGACCTCTTACTTTTTCCCATCTGGCGTTCTGAAAGTAGGGTGTGTGGTTTTTTGTTTGTTTGTTTGTTTGTTTTTTTACAAATCATAGGTTTATGGTTCTTAAAACTGTAGACTACTGTCCCTAGAAGAATGTGAAACACTAGTTTAAGTGCTTTTTGCTCATTTCAGGGTTGACATTGAATCCAATGCTTGAAACCACTTGCATCGAAAGTCTGTGTATCCAAGAATATGTCAGACTTTCTGAGCTGACCTCATTCTTGGGGCAAACTCAAAGATAAGAATATGTATTTCCCAAAGCCCATGCCCTATTTCATTTGCCCATTTCAACTCTGTGAAAGGATTGGAAGGGCTACAAACTCAAGGGGATAAAAAATTGTAAAGGGTAGCTTGGATTTCACTTACTCTTCATTATGCAAAGGTCTATCAATGACAGATAATCTCCTCTGTCTCCAAAGGGCAAGCTGTGAGCTGGGTGGAAATGTCAGTTGAGACAGAAGAGCAGCAAACAGCTCTGTTTTCCTATAGTTGTGGTTTTACACAGTGACGATGACACATGAAGATGAGAATATGCAGCATGAACTCCAGCCATTATCTGAGTGAGCATCTCTGCCAACACTGAAGGATATGTGTGGGTGTCACCTGCAAGCAGAGAGGGGGGGAGGGAGGGAGAGGGAGGGGAGGAAGGAGGGAGAGAGAGAGGGAGAGAGATATGAACAAGTAAGGTTTATTTATGAAGTTCATATTTGATTTCCTTTCCCTTGATAATTTCCACACCTGAGTTTAGTGTCTAGACTAAATTGATGTACATTTGGTGACTGAAGAAGAGGGTCAGAAAGGTGGGTTTGAATTACCATCAGCCAAGTTAATCAGATTCATACAGACTTTTTTTTTCCATCTCTTGTGTATACACTGAGCATTTGATACATTGGCTTCCAAAGTAAGTGTTTTTGCTAACGTCTGGGAACCAGTGATATAGATTATATGAAGCAAGACTAGCTGGAGGTTGTCATGGAGATGCGTTTTCATTCCAAACAGGCTGTGACTTGTGTTTCATTTGCTTTGTGCTTCTGTCTCCTGTCTTCATCTTCATTCATCCAACAACGTTGTGATGATCATCTTCCCAGCTCTGAAAAGTGGACTAGGTACAGGAGAAATGATAGAGCAACACTGCTGTCTTTGGACCAATCAGAGTACATTTTACAATTCTTCACTTACATCCCCTATTCACCATAGGGCAGCTACTAGTAAGTCCTGACTGTAGGACTTAGACATTGTATATCTACTGTTAGTCTTTAGTTTCCTGCTTTGCCTGAAATTTATTTCTCTGAGATGTTCTTTCTTAATTTCTCTAACTTCTTTATGTTCTTAGACCAGAAATTGAACTTATCATTATTTTTTTGTAAAGGGACATGTAGTACATATATCAGGGTTGGTGACTGTGTAGTTCCTTGTAACTACTGCAATCTGTGTCACTGTAGACATGAATAAGTTAGATGAGTTGTATTTCAGCAAACTTTTATTTATGGATATTGGTATTTGATTCTCCTTTAATTTTCTTGTCAGATATTATGATTCCTCTGATTGCTGTACCTTCACCCTAGCCATATGTGCATGTAAAATCCATTCTTAAGCTCATGGCCTGTAGGCTGCAGTTTGCTGACCTCTGAGATAGAATCAATACACCATTTTTAAGCTTTGAGCTTGTCTTTGAATGCCAGCCACCACCTAGAAGGGATCAGTCTGGGTGCATGTTAGGACCTCGTGGGAGTGGGAGTGTCCAAGTAAGTTTAGAAGAAACGGGCATAGATCAGCAGAGAATGGAGAGACTTCACCCAAGAGAGAGCCACCCTGGAAAGAAGAAACAGGAAACTAAAAGCGAAGGGGATAAGAATTTCTTTCAAGATGACAGAGTCCTCTGGAAATCAGTGCTAAAAGCCCAGTGATTACTGTTACATTTTCTTTGCTCTTTTCCTCTCATCCAACCATCAAATCCTTGCAATCTCCAAGGAAACAAAATAAATTTTTATTCAAAGTAGGCGAGGGGTGGAGGAAAGTATGGCCTGTGTCCAAGGTAATGAAAAAGATTGATTGCCGCGCGAATCCGTCCACATGGACCACACCCTACTTCAGTGTGGAGTGGGCGGGGCAGAGACCCGAAGCAGCTGTCTCAGGCCTGGGCTCCTACCACTTTCCATGACTTTTTCAGTCTAAATTTAGCTACTATTTATAGGTGACCAGGAGAACACACCCCCACCCCCCACCCCCTGCTGCTGCCTACTGGAAGTGCAAACTAAAGCTTAGTGTTTCACAGGTAGGTGTTAAAGTCAGCTTTACACAGATCAGAAAGACACTGACCCGACCTTTGTCATCCCTTATCACCACTCC